TTAAACAAACATGTTGCTGTGTATCTAGCAATATATTTTACATTTTCCAACCATCTCAACCTATACTATAGCCCGGGTGTACTCTACAAAGTTTGATACAGGGAAGCTCCGCTCTGAGGTCCAACCCTTTCCCTTTTGTATTTAAATACCATTTTAACAGAAAAAGTACCCCTTTCATATACCTTTAATTGAAAGAAGATACCCCATCCACATGCTTTCGTAACTGGCCTGTATTATGAATAAATCAGCAAAAAAGGAATTCTTGTCATTTTCGTGTACTGCTTAACAAATAAAATAAAGCCATGAAGTGTCCATTTAAAACATTTTAATTCCCTTTTAAATAACTAACTTACCACAACTAATGTACCTCAACTTATGATGTGCCTACCCTTTTATACACCTCAAGCCCAAAAAAGGTATGCCTTTCATGTGGAGCCTCCCTGTATAGGCCATTATAGGAAGTACAACAGGAGGCTTTGATTTTCTGCTTTCTGTTTCTCTTTGCTCTCAGTTCTCACCAACTCCATAGTGGCTCCCACTTCTCTGAATGTCCTTTTTCTTATGCAAAAATATCACAGTGTAGAATTTACTTATTTCTCCCAGTTCCCACCTCTCCGGGAATCCCACCTCCCTTTCCTCTGACCTGCTGCCTCAGTTAGGCTTCTAAAATTTAGGTTTTAATGTGAGTGTATTTGAAACACTCACATTCAACCCTACCCTCACAAATTAAAGCCAAATCTACATAGACTTTGCTACAATTAATATCAGTGCCATGTCCCCTGTTTGGTGATGCTCACTCATGGATGTTTTATTTTTTTGGCAGCTGGCTGGAGAAGGTTATTCAAGATGTCTTTGCATAAGTGATGGCTCACTGCTTCCTGTGATGGCAGCCAAGTTTGGATTTGAAAAGGTAAAGTTTTTTTATGAAGTGAAATATCACTGACAAGTAATGCAGACCTTTGACTTTTTTCTTCATAGCATAGCAACATACTGAGCGGACCAAGACATTCAACAGACTGTGGGAGCACTCATCACTGGGCAGGGCACGTTTGTTAATTTTTGTTTTT